AAAACCTTAATTTGTATGCTGTATACTTTCATATCTTGCATGGTATAATACGAGAAAATCATTTAAGATCCCACTAGTCATATCTTTGTTTATGTTAGTTGCATCAAATATTTACAAGTATTAGCAAATACACTAAAACATATTGAATAAAGAGAAGTGGGTGGAACGTATCTTATACAGATTATTATTGTTCTTTAAATGTTAACGTCGAAATTGATTTTGAATATCATTTTCAAAAGACATGTTTGAAGTTTGTGTCGCTACAGAGGAGTATGGTGAAACGAGTAAGTCATTGGCGAGCAAAGAATGTTATTTTAAAGACATTGCTCCAAGTATAAAGCAGTGGTTAGTTGCCAAAGATGGAAAACTACGCAGAGTAGAATGCTCATTGCTGCTTAAATTAAAGCAGACTTCTCGTTCTGTTGAGCTTCAAGCGCTGGAAAGCACAGGGGCGTGGTGGTGGGCAGAGGAAGGGCGGGGGGACGGGGGCACTACTTGTAAAAATAAATGCAGGCGCCACACACATAAATTGTAAGGAGGTGGCAAGGGGCTGAGCATGTTGCCACGGCTTTCCGCGGCTAACACAATTTTGCTATTAGTAAGAGGATTTTGTTGCAATTAGAAATTGCACTTTGCACAGTGAGCCACACAATTGCATTGTTCCGGGCGTGAAAGCGCATTAGCCGTAGTCGACGTCGACGTTGTAATCGCTGCTATTTGAGTTTGTAATGAGGCGTATTTGTTGAAAACTGAACAATTAAATATGCATATAAATTATAAAATGCATAATTCATGCGCATTGAAGTGCTGTGCAAACACGCCAGCACACAGACGGATATCTGCGGTTGAAATTCTTTTTATACCCTCTGCACACGAAGGGTAGAAGGGTATTATTTTCCATTTATTTATCTAAAATTGTTCGATACGCTATAATACGAATATACTTGGTATTAATCATAGACGAGATAACAACCGAAATGGCGAAAGTAAGATTGCAACTCGCAACATTTTTGATATCAATTTGTGCCAAAAGATAAACTCACAAAATGTCTCATATTAACGTAGAGTCGAAAGAACTTAGTCGTTTATTTTTTCAACCTATTAGTCGATATATATTAACGATATTTGTGCTTGTGTTGGACTTGGGCAAATGGGATATTGATTCCAACTGATCAAGAATAAATATGTTTTAACTGCTGCCCTCGCTATTGCTTTTACAAACATTTTAATTTGCTTATCTAGTTTTTTTTTATTTTTAAACAAATTGAACTTTTTTCTGTGTATACCCACAGCTCTCAACAGTACAAAATTATAGCAAATACTATCAACTTAATTTTTTAAGACTGTACCATTTATCACATCCTTTATTTTTCTCCTTGCAGGTAAGACGTTTTTACCCGAGCTTTCAAATAGCTTATTCCATAAGTATCCTATATAAGAAGGGTAGAAAGTCTTTAAAACCAAACGTACTATATGGTATGTAACAAACGGAAGAGGGGTGTTAGACCCTATGTTTTAGGTGCTTATGATCAGCATGACGAGACGATTCGATAAAGAAATGTCCACCTATCTGTCCGTATGAACAAAAAGAATTTTAGAAACATAACACCAAAGGACACAAAGTTGGTATGTATGTATGTTTATCCATGCACAGACCACCTTTAATAGTATTTATTTATTTCTGAAAAATAGCTGTCGATATTATAACATAAAACTTACTAGATATACATTAAGATATTAAAAAGAAAAACAATAAAAACAAGAAATTAAAATTAAATAGAATTACAATCATTCTTAAAAAGAAAAGATTTTAGTGACAACAAACAACAAATATTATTTAGACCTTAGGAAATTAATTATGCATGATTTAATCGAAACTCAAGAGAGCTCTCATGGCCAAAGAGATGACTCAATTGATTATAGTTGGTACATAGAACGCGAAACGAACTGTGCAAAGCATAGTTGGTGGTACAGCGATTTAGGATTATGGGAGCAAAAAATCTATGAGCAACAGTAATGGCCGATTTTTACTATCAAATTATTAGCACTACACAAAATAATGAAAATGTGTTTCGAATGCAATAAAATAAAAAAAAACAGCTAAAAAATAAGAAGAGTTGTGATCGTGGAACTAAGCAAAATAAATAAATAAATGATCATTTTTTATTATATTCTTTGTATGCATATAACTTGTTTAAAATTATTTAAATATAGATGAACAATTACGGCGACAAAAAATAAAGGGGTGTGCAAACGGTGGAGAGAATAATGTTGTGTTTTTCAAAAATATGTAATTTTTCTAATGGGAGCTGCTCTCAGTTCGAAAACCAATTTATATTATTAAGTCTACTTAATTTTCTAAAAAGAGTTCAGATTTTTGTCAGTTGAATAGCATTTTTTTGCAAGCTCACGTGGAAAGGGAGCCATATCTTTGATGGGAGCAGTTATCAAAAGGAAGTTATGGCAGATAAAGAAATCTAAAATCATTTTGTTTCGACGGTTCAGAACTGAAAGTAGTTAGGAATGCATTTTCTGAAAAACCCGTATTTAATTTTACCAATATTGTTTAAATTCAAATTTATTTTTGCTTATTACATTTATATTTATTTTTTATAGTATATAAAGATTGTTTCTTTGATATGTAATTAAGTCTAATATATTTTTTAAGAGACATCAATGCACAAGCTTTCAAAACTAGTCTGTTTATGCCTCAGGTCTCGATGAAATCCGCGAACCAGTGGCCGCAACTTCTTTGCACCGTTTGTCCCTTTGCCCAAAATCAACCCTAGCACCAAATATAGTGCTAGGTATAAGTTAGGACTATTAACACAATAAAAATTCATTTTCATGCCCATATAGTATATATGTATATATTCTCCACATTATATCTTCACAGCAACCTAGCTGATCAATTAAGCGTGCCCATAAAATGGGCAAATGTTTTTCAAATTTGTCTGCAAAACTGTTGTTCCGTTCAGAAACTAGGGGGGGCAGCTGCCCGTTTCGTACCCCCCTCGCTACGGCCATGCGTACGAATGGCTGTTGTAATTGCACACTAACCCAACACTTACCCGCTGCAAATCCCATAGATACGACTACTCGTACCATTCCGTCCCGTATTCACAAAACACCAACATGGGCCATAAAACACATACATACATATATACATACAGACATAGCACATAGTACGTGTATGCGCTCAATTCACAGATTTTTGTTGTTTGTTGGTTTTGTGGTAGCGTCAAAGCAAATATTTCAAATAAAAACACACCAATACCAGGGCCCACACACAAATATTTTTACACTAAATTATGTGTCGCCGTATGTTAAAAATAAACACTCGCAAATAAAAATACAAATATCCACAATAACGATAGCAGAATAAATTAATGGATTCTTCAAAGTGCCTTCAAAATATTTATAGCAATATTTAGAATAGATATGTGCATACGTGTACTTGTATGTATCTGTGTATGTACGAGTACATATATACATATGTATGTATGTATTTATGTTTTGTACAAATTCAAGTTGCGCTCGCATATCGAATCGAATCAAATGAGCGACTGCCCGGTTCACATGCAGATTTCAAATGAAATTACAACGAAAATTGATCCATTAAATATAGGAATTTAGGCAATAGATTCCTTATCTAGTTTTGTGTGAAAGCGAATACAATTTTTGAATCGATGTAGCGTTCAAATGGAAATACTTACATTTTATACAAGTACTTGTATAAAATGTATAAATTGGCTTTGTGACTATATAGAGGCGGTACCGCCACAGCGTACGATTATAGTTTTAACTTGTGGGCATACCGTTACCTAATATTACATACTTTTATGAACTAAGTACTGTACATGCGTTATAACTTTCGAAGAGATGTTCTGATTAAAAACGTCATAGTCCAACAGTGAACTCTTACTTACGACTTAGTAGCTGCAGGACCTTTCAAGCTTTAAATAATGTATTTCTAAAAAAAGAAATATTAGAGTCGACTGACTCTTAAGTAATCTTTTGGGTAGAAAATTAAAGATCGGAATAAAAATAAACTTGTCCTTTCTCGGGCTCAGGAGAGTCAGGATACCAAGTTCTAGATCCTTGCGTTCATACGGACAGACAGACCGACATTTCATATATACAAGTATCATATACTTTGTGGGGTCTGCCCTTCCGTGAGTTACATGTACACTCGCACTTGTCAGTACAGTGTATAAAAATATATATCACGTACGTAGAGACTTATGCTTATTGTAGAGTACAGTAACTGGAGTAAATAAATTACCAGAATCACGGATGGTGGTTGGAAGGTGCAAACTTGTCCGAACTAGTGTAGAATCTAGTTGCGAAGTTTCGTGTTTCCAGCTCTTATAGTTTCCGAGATCCGCCTAGATGGACAGTCCGACATGGCTGTATGGACTCGTCTGGACATACTGATCAAGAACATGCACATACTTTGGGGGTCTGCCGCGCCTCCTTTTGTGTGCTACATACATTCGCAATAAACTATTAGATACTTGTATTCCCTATTGCCCTTTGGGTACAGGGTATAACAATCATGACTGTAATACCCAACTGCTGGTGATTTCGGCTGATTTCGGAAAGTTTATCTAAAATCGAGAAATTGTTGTTCTGGGTCTTTGACGGCGTGGACTTAAGAAGGGTCTCTCGACAGCCATATTGCTGTCACGAGTAATGCTTGGTAAAATGTTAAGAAGCTCAAATGTGGACTCACTCTTCTCTACACATGCTCGCACTCGTGCAAAAACTAAATCGCCGACATCGCCTCCCATAAACTTGAGCTATTTAGGGTATACATATATCAATAAACATTCAACATAAATGAAAATGTAAACAGAAGTCGTCGTCGTCGTTGTTGTTTACGTTCGTTAATCATGTGAAAGGCCATTTATGTATACACATCTTATTTATGTCTTATTTATTATACATACTCGGATAGTGTAGTATAGAATAATATCAACCTGGTAATCACACGATATCGAATGTATTTGCGAGTACATATACAAGTAGTGTGTATGCGTATAAATTATTGTTAGCTAAAATACATAACTCTGAATGCTCGAGTCCGAAAATAGCGATCTGTGCGATCTATGTACTTGTATTTCGAAAAAGACGCGGAATATTTTGTAGAGTCCGTTTCACGTGAAATGATACCACGGCTTTGAGATTTTGTTTTGTTGTGGAGTGAAGAGGCGCGTTGGGTTTCGATACAACTCCTCCAAATATTCGCCCATATTTTTGCTAATCCCTAAAGCAATACTTGCACCAAGTACCGCAAGCCAAATAAGTGCCTGGACTAGGTCGGGCAGATGGGTAGCGCGATGATATAGTTTGAACATCGAGCGAATCGTAACGCAGAGCAATACCCACAAAAGTGTGCGGCTGAGGAACAAGACGTCATTCAATTGCCCTTTTATGCGAGTGACACTCTCGCGTACCTTGGTCGATGGGAAACATCGAGGCTGCTCTGGCCCTTGAGACGGGCGCACACGTCCATGGTCTTGTTGCTTCCGCTCGATCAGTGGTGGGTCGTATTTGGCTTGATCTTCCAAAGCTTGGAGCTGCTGCTTGATTGCCTGCAGCTCGGCCTGCAGGTGCTTGACTTGCTGCCGCCTTCTTTCTGCTCTCTGCTCCTGTCCATTCCATTCCTGATGTCGTTGCTGTCTCTCAAGTTGCTGTTGTCTCTGCTGCAGGCTTAAATGTTGCTGTAGTTTTAGTTGTTGTACAAGTAGTTGTAAATGCGGTTGTTTCTGCAGCTGACCACGGTTTCCGTTCGATTTCTTCCCCTTTTCCCGTTGGCTTCTTTGCGTTATTTGTTCTATAAGGCGTTGCTTTTCTAACAACTGCTGGTTTAACCGCTTGGCGGTAGCCTCTGGGGCTGCTCCATATGAAATAGTAAAACACGATTCGGGCAGAGGCCCACTATTGGTACGAATTCTGTTGGAAAGCTGACCATCGCTTTCAGTAAAGTGAAGTTTTTGTGCGTCGACTTGCACCCCAGAATCGTAGGCTTCAGCAATTTTATAATCTTCTGACTGTGTTATCTGATCAATTTGATCGATTTGGGTATTAATTGCCGACTCCTTCTGCAGTTCCTTTTGATTTGGCTGTTGTCTAGTTGAATGATTCTTTACTGTATGACGCTTTTTGCTCATTTCTGTGTTCCTAAATGCATTATTTAAAGCGTTTAATCGGCTTCTACGTAATATACGCTGCGTACTCTTAGTGCTAAGGAGCCTTTTTCGTGGCGAGTCATTTGAGGAAGCTGCTGGCTGCTTGACCACCACGCTCTGATTACTTCCCAAGTAGTTGTTCACATTTCTATAAAGCACAGTCACGGTGATCTCCGTATTCGAGCGGTTGGTGTGCATGGAGTGTACTTTTTCAATGTAAATACGATTTGTATTTACGGCGCACGTGGATGTGTGGTAGACATCAGTCTCTGCAGTTTTTCTTCTCTTATTCTTATTTACTGCCTCTGCAGGGAAACATAGGTGATGATTGAGGAAAGTAATAGATCAGACCGAGACATACCCAGGGAATCGAAATAAGGACGTGCGGTTTCAATCACATCCGGAGGAATGTAACTCATCTTGTAATCACGGAAGCTTTTAGCAATCACTTCAATAATTTTTAACTTTTCTTCAAACGTTCAATTTTGTCCAATTCTTGAAAATTTTAAATATATTATGAAATAAGAAATAGGAATCAATGTTTGTAAGTCTGCAATTAAATAAGAGCCTGCTCAAATAACAAAAAATATATTATTTTATCTTTCGTGTAATTGGGCCTCAATGGTGGCTTAAATTTCCTTTTTGAGAGAGTTACTCTCCAAATACCTTCAAAGGCTCCAAATTGGATTCATATCCATGCAGAACCACATCATAAGTCAATATTCGTTGCAGTGTGGACGCGAAGGGGTCAAGTTGCAAGTTCACGGAGGACTGCTTACAAAACTTTTCCAAGGTGTTGGAAATTTTTTATTTTCTATTTCCTTGCACACTTTCTCGAAGGCTTCACTCCACTCATATCAATATAACCTTATTAGATTCTCTAATGCGTTGATTTCAAATTCTATTTTTTTAGTTTTTCATGCTATTTATAAATTAATAAAACGCCATTTAAATATACGTGAGTTGAATTGCTCAAAAATTCGGACATTGGTGCCGATTGTGAGAGCTTGTATTTCCGCGTCTTTCCCATAGAAGTGGTTTTGATGTGCATATGGATAGCACCAGTTTTCTGTGTTGAATATTTTGTATTTGATTCGTTTTATTTAAAAACAAAATTAATATGTAGAAATTATTGCACGAGCGGGTACAGATTTTTATACAAGGGTATCTCAGGTTTGTGGAAAGTGAAGATTGTAGCAGGCAGAAGGAGGCGTGGCACACCCCACAAAGTATATATACTCTCGATCAGAATGACAAGACGAGTCTATCTAGCCCTTTCTGTCAGTTCGTATGAACACCTGGATTTCAAAGACTAAAAGACAACTTGAGTGGAAGTTTCAGCTTCCTTGCTTCTACCATTTGGGCTGTGCGTTGATCACCAGTCGATCAGTCAGTCAGAACGAGCTATTGTATATATACATATAGGAACATCATTTTAAATCATTTTCGTATTGTGTTGCATCAAAACGTTTTTCTATGAACTCTTTATGTTCCGGCCACGGTTGACCTTTTTATGGGAATATCCATATGTTGAATCTGTTGGCTAGCACAATTGGTGGCAAGAGCAAGCAAGCAAGGAAAAATATTTAGAAAGAAATCAAAGCGTTTTTCTTTGTAGTTGTTGCCTGTGCCAACTGCTTGTTGATGTTTCTAAATATTTACAAAAAACTTGATTAATTGCAGACCAGTTTGTAGTGTTGTCAGTTGGCCGTTCGGGGTTTTAGGTTCCCAGCCTTCCGTGGGCAAGCATGTTTGTTTAGGTAATTAAAAATATGGCCAAGCATGGTCGTCTGTGTTTTTGTTATTTACTCAAACATCAATTAAAGTTGTACGTACATACGAGTGTGTTTGTTTGTTAGTTAGTTTTGCTCGGGGTCAGCCTGTTTGTGTTCTAAAGTCAAGCAAAATCAAAAGCTACCAGCGCAGACACACAAACGCATACATAGACACTGTTCTCTACAATGCCTTTTGTGCTAGTGTCTAGCAGACGTATGCGTAACGCTTGCTGGCAACCTATTGCCAGGAGCTTACATAAGTTTGGCCGGTCAAAAAAGAAAAAAAAACAACAAAACCAAAAAAAAAAATGAAATGAAAGGAGAAAAAAGCAACACTGTCGGTGGGTATACATGAATTGACACAATTGTTGGCAATGTCAATGCCTTTGCCTGTCTTTACTTCACATTACACATACACACACACACACACACATACACACACATACACACACGAGCACACACAGACTCACTCGCACAATCATGAAAAAGAAAGCGTGCTCCTGTAATCCGGAAAGCAGCTGAGGCCAGCGCACAATGCGCAGGCGCTTCTTCAAATCCAGTGAGAATGAAGCGGTCGCCCAATTACCTCACAACTCAACGACTCAACGACTCATTCACTCATTGATTCACTCACATGCTCATTTACTCGTCCGGCATTTTTGTTTTTATTTTGTTACCTTTTCAAACAACGTGCGTTGCCCTGCCTGCTGTTGTTAGCTGCTCTTTGGTGTTGCTTTTATGTAATTACATTTCATTTCATTTCTTCTCATTTCATTTCATTTCATTTCATTTCCTTTTCTTGTTTTTCTTTTTATTTTTATTTTTTTTTTGGAATTTTGACCCCATTTTGCACAGTCGCTGGCTGGCTCGCTGTGCGGCATTTATCGTTTACCTTTGGGCTTTGGGACGCCATTTGGTTACAAGCATCATAAGTTTTAATTGAAGAAAAATCAAATAAAGCGCATTTCTTTTTATACCCCTTAAAAGGACGTTTTTGGTGCTGAATTTAGGCGTGATATACATGATGTAAACTTTATCAAAATTTCTCTCATTTCTCCATGATATTGAACCACGGACAGATATCTTCATAGTCAGCTGTTGCTTATTCATACCTAGTACTTCGTATACACGTACACAAACAGATACTTTTATTGTCATTAACGCTGCCTCTAAGGTACTAGATGCAATGGATAATCCTAAAAATTCCTACAAGAAATATTCGCACTATTTAAGCCCGTTTATGTTTGATAATAAAATCGAATAACCTTCCGTTCAAAAGTTACAAGTAATTCTTATGTATACTATATAGTATATATAATATACCTATATTCTTGCCTAGAGATGCTACATTGATTTGAATTGAATTGTTGAATTGTGCTGTTGTAAATTGTTCTTTAAATTGTATTGCTGAAAGTGATATTCAGATATTTGTTTGTCTATATGTCTATTGTGTGTTCCCACACATTTAACATCTGACCGTGGTACAACCTACATTGACCAAACTTTGGATTTGTGCGTGATAAGCGTGAATGTTATTTCGGCTGGAAAGGTGATGGTCACAGTTTTTGGAATCCACAACTATTCCAACTATGATTTATACCGATTATGTAGAGAAAGGAAATCGATGCATTTACTTGCAGAAGGAAAATGTTGTTTCACCAGGATATTGCGCTATACCATCCATCAGAAACCAATGCAAAAATCCACCCTCCTTGCTCTCCAGACCTAGTCTCAAGTGACTTCTTTGCATTCCCTATAATGAACGTTGTCATCAAACGTGGAGGCTACTCTCGAGTACCTACGTAAGCCACCATTTTGAGGAGCAGAACGGCGAATACTTTTCGGAGGGGTTGAAGAGGAGGAAGCGTGTGAATTTGAAGGAGAATAGATTGAAAAACTGTTCTATTATTGTTAGACTTTTCTGACTATCCCCGTATATAGCCAATGGTCTCATTTCTTTTGTCGTTACTCGGCAGGTATTCTTACCTTGTTTTACTTCTTACCTTGCAAATACTTGCTTGCAAATACTTATTCATATTTAACGAAAGTATTTAAGTATTAACGCAAAACGCAAAAGTTTCAACCAAGTGGCTAAATACATCATTTTTGTTATTTATATTTGTTTTTTATTATGTTCTATAGCTTTTTTCTGTAGTTCATCCGCAGCTTGTTGACAGTTTTCGTGCCTATACTTGATGGTCAAATTATTTTGTATTCCTTTACTCTTCACTTCACAATTCCGATTGTTCATACTTGTATATTGTGTTTCGTAAGTGAGTCGTAAAGTCTCCGGAGATTTTAAAAATATCTTAATGTTTCCCATGCGCACTAAGTGTGCAATTTTGAAATTGTAGAGCGACAATTTGAATGACCTTTCATTGAGAAGAAGCTAAAGGCTCATAAATTGTGATTAATTACGTTCCCCGTTAACTACTTTGCAATGCAATATAAAAATGCAGCTCGTTAGAACCCTTCAGTTTAGTCAAAAACGGCCTCAGCTTTGAAAGAACCACGTCATGATGTTATTTGTTGATTGCATCAAACCCGGAGTATAGAAACTTTGAGCAGAGTTGAATCAGTAGTTATTTTGTTCGTTTCTCATCCAACGCACTTATAATTATTTACAGCTAGATTTTGTGCTCAGAGTTTAAAGTAGTAAGAAAATAAAGAATAAAATGTGTTGTACGCATTCATATTTGGCTTGGCTACTGATATAATTGGACAGCAGTGAAGTGCAGACGACATTTATTGCTGATAACTACATATACAAGTATTGTCATACAATGATATAAAGATATATGCAGCATAGCATAGTTAGGGGCGCACGCAGAAGTTTTTAACAAGTTGGGCCCGGCGACCCTTTTTGCAAACACATAAGTACATACATGGACTTGGTTATACTTGTATTATATACATTTATGAATGAATATAGACACCCTTAACTACTGATGCGGGCTTGTCATGCAATCGGGACCTGCCCTCTTGTATGTCTGTCTGAAAGCACAAACAGATAATAGAATAAGAAAACAGAACTGACAATACGAAATAAAAAGGACGAAATAAGAAGGAAGAAACGCAAGAAAAGGGAGCCAAAGAAAGCACTAAAAAGGGCAGACGCCAAAGGAAAAAATATATTAAAAGGTAAACTGCAATCAAACGTTTTCTTAATAATACTGTATACATACTATATATTGTATGAGCTTGGCCTGCGATGTGTAGCGAACAAAGCCGAGCCTGCCTTCTAGGCGAATTGTACACTTAATTGTCCTTGTGCAGAGTCTAGTACAAAATAAAATATTGAATGTTTCTCTACTCGCAGTATAGAAACGTGAATGCCCTTGCGATCTGATTTAAAGATTGATTTTTGATATTGGCTGATATTTAAAAATTTAATTTCATCATTGATTATAGATAAATTTTGTGGTCAGATTGTTAGCTTGTATAGCATTTCAGTGAGTTTTATTTCTATAATATTAAATGGACGTGTAATTTGAATCATTCATTGATCATTTAGAATTAGAAACATGTCTCCTTTTATGACAAGAAGTGCTCACTAAGTAAAAGGAATGGTGAAATATGAGCTTCAAATTAGTCGGACACCTAATTCTGTTTTTGCACGTCTTTTTTTACACTGTTTTGATTTAGCACGGTTTGAAAATAAATAATTTTTAATTTTGTTGCACGATTTTTTTTCCATCATT